GATTGGTGAAAATCCCACCAAAGCTTCTCGTTGGCGGTTACAATGGTCTTCCCATTCTAGGTTGCGCAGCATTGTTATGAGGTCATCCAACCTTTTGTTAACTCTCCTTTTGAGGTACATTTTTTTAAACTTATTATGGAAGGACTCTACATGACCTGTTGTGTTTACCTGAGCATGGGGGAAGTTCCGGTGGCACATTGCCCATTTTTCTGTTCGGTTCAGATAGTGCTGTCTGAAATAAGTTATGAACTTTGCAGTTTTATCTTTTTCTTCGTACTTTTTTAAGAACCCTTCACACAAATCTTCAAACATATTGAGGTCTTCAATGTTCATTAGAACTCTTATTTCACTAAATACATCCTCAAACAGATCTTTAGGGACTTTGGTTCTTACATTATCCTTTAAGTTTTTAATTACATGCCAACGGATAGTAGGTGGCGCATAGGAGAAGAAAAACCTGCTTCAATGCCATTGATAATGGCACTGTCATCATCAGTAATGACACAATTGATGCGACTTGGATCTTCAATTCTTTCACTAAGACCCTTAAAGAAAAATTTTAGTGTGGCAGCATCTGATTTGTTTGTAACCAAATGGGCTACTGGCCAGCCTCTTCTGTTGTCATCAACTACCATGCATGTCAGCAACTTATAGGAATACTGGTTGGTTCCATGAGTTTCGTCTACGATTAAAATTTTGTTGCAATGGTCTTTCATCAACTGTAATTGTCTGGGAGTTTGGAAGCCAAACATGAAAATTTCCATTGAGTAAGGGAGGTTGTTGACATCTTCTGGGCCATACACCACATCTGCTCCATAAGGCTTATAAATGACGACCGAGTTTTCTTTAGATACCATTTCACTGGCCATTAAGTAGACAGATTTTGCGTCATCTTCATAGAGTCTTTGTGCCATCCGTTGCCTTCGTGCTCTCTCCCTGATTCTTTTCTTGGTGAGAATGTTCACTTTTTGTGTCTGCACATCTCTACTCTTGTCAATATTTATGTTTTTGACTTTATTAAAGATCTTGGAAGGAGAAACTTCTTCTCCTAGCTGACAATTTATAAATGAGCTTAAATCTTGAGGTAAGGGATGGTGAAGGTAGTCCTGGGGACTGCACACGTGGCTATGTGTCGGATGATAAATTACACTAACTAGATCCGTTAAATTATTCCTGCAAACCTTCATCTGGGCAATGCAAAAGTGTCCAATCTTTACTCTTCCTTTTGAGTTTCTCCTACTTGTTTTCCTGGGGGTGTGGACTTTGGCTGCCCCATCATGCTGGCAGTAAAAAGTTGTTGTGAACCCCGATAGGCAATTTTTTTTGCTAAAAAAAGAAAAAGTTCTTTCTTCTTCATTGTCTTTCCATTTTAAAAATTCTTCTTCACTGCTAAACTCAAGTTTAATTGGGGGCTTTACTTTTATTAGGTCACTATGATCAGTTTGAAGATGTTCAATTAATCTTAGTTTATGAAAAAATTGTTTGTTACATTCTGGGATCATACAAGGAGTTTTCAGTTTTTTTGAAGGTTCTTCCTTGTTTTCGACATTTGAACAAGATGTAACGTGAACTTTTAAATTATCTTTTCGACTGAAGGTCACTAGGCAGATGGGACATGAAAATTTATTTCAGTTCTATTTATATTGTTCTTGCAAATCTTTTCATGGCGATTACAACTTTTCTTCTGAAAAAAGTGTTTACTACAAAAACTACACTTAACTTTTCCTTCATTTTGAATTTCAATAGACTTGTCAATAGCATCCATTGTTGAATATGATATACGTAGCACGTCAAAAAATAACAAATTAACAACGATCCTCTTGGGTCATCTTGACTTACAATACAGTCCAAGTAAATAAAAAGAAAAACATGCACAAACACCATGCAGAAAACACTAAATACCATGCAGAAAAAAGATAAATACTGAACAGAAGAAAGAAGTACATGCAAGAACCGCCATACAACCACTTAATTCAAGCCCAAGTCTCAAGTTAGACAATAGAAATCTCTTCGAACCTCAGTTGGTGGCATCAGGCACGTATCTTGGATACTCAGACCCTGCAAAAAACATATGATATTAATAGTTAGGCTACATACAGTAATAATATATTTACAATATATTATGTTGTTAAAGACAAAATATCCTTAACAAGACATTATTTATTGGAATTGTAACGCCGGTAACATGTCCCCAGTAAGGTCTTGGTTCACTCAAAAAAACTTATGTATAACGCCTTTAAATTTGTTCTCCACACTGTAGCACCAGTTCCATGTCAGTTGTGAGTGGGATGCCAGTGAGTCCACTGTGCGTGTGCTCAGAATTCATCTAACTTACTTAGGCTACTGATAAGTAATAATTATAAAATACTTGAATAAACAGGTGTTTATGTTTTTATACTGTAGCATCGGTCGCGAAAAGTAAAGCCACAATGATAAACAGTCAAATGTTGATATTGCTTCAATAAAATATGCTGGTAGACAGGTTTTCAAGAAACCATTATGATGATCCTGGCCTTTTTTTCCGTACAGTAAATAATAATTTTTCATCATGATGTAGCGCTGGTCAAATAACAAGCGACTGGCCCTACTATATTGGCGCATCCATATACTCAATATGCGAGACAGATCTTGCAAATATGCATAGTAATTTGTCTAACTTGCTTGCATTAGCAATAAAAAAAGTTTCAAAAAAATATTTTTGGCCTACTAAAAATAGGCCTTTTTTTTATTTCAGTTTGTAAATTCAACCAACAATGTTTTCACCCACTAATTTAATTTTAAAATTAAGTACGTATGTCTAAGTGATCTTCAATTTGAATATCTTTTGGAGACAAATGAAGTATGGTATTCTAGTTAGGATAAGAAATCAGAAATCTTTTAGTTAAGAAAAACTGTACAGTATTAGTTTCCCATCACAATAGCCTGACCACTCTTGATCCAATATACACCTAAGCCTACAGTAGGCCTACCTACTTATTATCTGAGGAAAATGATGAATGCTGATTGATAGGCCTACTGATATCCTGCAACCACACATAAATTGAATTAAAGCTTAAGACTACATATACAACATGAACAGTTTCGTAGATATGCCTAAATACAGTAAACAATCAATTTAAACCTAACATAAATAAGATAAAGTCAGTCTTATTAAATTTACCCATGTCAGTTAATAGGTCGGTACAAAAAAACCAGTAGCTTAACAAGACTTTTAAGGTCCGTGAAGTTAGCGTAGGTACTCATATTAGCGTATCCACTTTGGTTCATAAGTTAGGAATTGTTAGTTCTAGATAGTTCCCCAATATTTTTATTAGTCCTCACTAAATAAATAAGTTAATTTAACTTATAATAGATGATAATAAATGAGTACGCTAACTTAACTTCACACTTCCAGTTTCTAGCGCAGAACGTTTTATGATGAAAAATGCCTAAGTTACATCTAAATAGCAATCGCTCCATTCTTTGTTCCCTGTTCTTCGTTAACTCTCCAATATTGTTGATAACTTAAATAACTTAGTTCTCCAAAATAAAAAGGGGAAAGGTAGCGTAGTCACATAGGCTAACTTTTTAATGCCTTATAACTTTTTTTACATTAAGTTAATGCGCTTCATACGCTACTAGGCTACAATAACTTACCAGTAGCCAATATGGGTAACTAACCTAAAAACGGTAGGCCTACCTAATATGGGTAATTAACCTATGCTAACTTCATGGACATAAGTTAGACTTCCAAGTATGCTCTGCTGATGCTCATTGTACATTCATATTGACCTTAATATGCAACCGGGTGATTCGTTCGGCGTCTTAGCTAGTAAAATGTGGACCTTATTATATTACAACGTGGTAGGCCTACTGTAAATGAGGGAGGTTAAGGAGTGTGCCTCAGATGAAGAAGTAAGTTACAGTTAGCTTTCGCCTAGCCTATTCCTTTCCATTTTAAGCTAAGACTGAATACTTAGGTACTTAACTTACTCACTTGAATACCGTACTCGAGTTCTTCATCTTTGACAGAACTAGTCTGATGGATTGCGTTTAAATAATAATTAATAGACAATAAAAAACTATGTAGGGGCCTACATTATTTTACAGTACTCAGGCCGGGTACAGTTTCTTAACTGGGCTACCGTATGCTAATATCGATTGGAACTATCGATTTGAAATATTGATGAATAATCGATATTTCAAAACACAGTATATCTATTATAAAATTAATCTATCATAACCTAACCAACCAAACTTGTTGATGGTGAAAAAATCGCATGAAAACTTACTAATCGAATCGATTGTTTCAATCGATATTAGCGTAGCCCAGTTAAGAAACTGTACCCCTTAGGCCTAATTACTGAGTCACCCTTAAACTTTTACTTGGCCGTTTACTAATTTGCAATTTAATAATTGACAAGGAAATGTCAATAATTAAACTAAGTTTAGTTTAATTATTACATCAAACTTTACTGAAACAGAGCACTAATTTCTTACGCTTGGCTTCTTCTAAATAATAGGTACTTACCACTAAGGAAGGATGATTGATGAAGGATTTTACTCGCCGGTGTGGCAAACGCAAACACAAACACAATGGCTTGGAAAGAAAAGCTACTTTAACTGTAGGAAGATTATAAAATACTTGAATAAACAGGTGTTTATGTTTTTATACTGCAGCATCGGTCGCGAAAAGTAAAGCCACAATGATAAACACTAAACAGTCAAATGTAGGTAAGGTAGCTGTCAGTCAGAGTCAGTCGTCAGTCAAGTCAAAACTGTGTCTCTCCTCTCGGAGGAGTCGCTATTGGAGTCGCTCGCTAATAGCGACTCCTAACGTCTCGGTCTCGTTCTTGTTCTTCTGCCTCTTCCGACGCAGCAGTTAGTGACGTCAGCAAATAGTGACGTCAAACGGCACCTTAGAAATCTACCGTGTGGCGCACCCCTGGGTTGGGTGGGTGTCGGTGTCCTTGTTTTCTGTTTATTATTCTGTATTCGTGATTCCGTGAAAGAAGTTGTGTCACCTAAATTCTCGACCCGTTAATCATTGTGCACACCACTTATTAAGCGTATGCACGGCGTGTTTGTGATTAATCTTTGGTGTTACAGTGTATTGTGTGACGAGGATACCACGTTAAGGTTATAATAGAGAAATAAAGCAAAGAGCCCTCATAAAATAAGGCATTTCAGCTTGAAATAAGCTCACTGAAAAATGAAGGCCACAACGCAACAGTAACGTCATGACGTAGGCAACATCAAACTCCTGAATATTACCATTAACTATTAGTAAACAGGTTATTGGTGGAAATTTACACAGGTAAGTTTCAAAACGTTTCTCATAAATATTTAATACGCATAGTAAATTTTTAGAAACATATCTGAATACCGTAACCTACTCTTGTAGATTCATCAGTAGGCCTAGGCTAGGCTAGTTTCACTCTGCAAAGCTGGACAATCTTGATGTAAGCCTACATAGCCTACACTTATAGGTTTACCCTGTGTCATATAGCAAATCGTAGGCCTCATTCACAATATTTATAAGTTATAAGTTATTACGCTACCATAAGATGTGTTAAGGACTTCCGGTCAATTTAAAAATGATATTTGGATTTGTTTCTTACCCAGGAACAATACCCTAAAATATCCGACACGAATTCTGAAACACCCTGTATAAGTAAGTAATATAAGGTAATATAAAGTAAGATATCAAAATTAAAAATTCGTTTTTGGAGGCACCTATACGGAATAATTAAATGCATAGGTAAATGCACCAGTAGCTGACAGTGTTCCAGAAGCTGACAGTTTGAGTTTCTTTACATTATAATGTGGTCTCTTATAAATATGTACACATGATAGCATTGTTAGAAGAACATATGTTTATTCTTGATTTGTTTACAAACAAATCAGTGAAATTTAGCCCATAACTTACTCGCTGAAATGGTGGTGGTTTGAAAGCGACCCTGTCTGTACACATCACATTTAGTCGATTCCCTTAATGAAATTGTTAAGAAGGTAAGTTTGGTTTTTTTGTCATTTCGCTAAATTTCTTAAATAGTATAAATGGTTAGGCTCATTATTTTTATCAATTATACCTTTGTTGACAATTTCATGATAAAATTGGGGTGTTAGGGGTTTTGGATTTAAAATTATATCAATGTCAGGCTTTGGTACACAAAAGCCATACAAGTTCCACTAGCTGACAGGGGATATTTGCTACTTGCACAATATTAAATTGGTTTTACCCATTGAAATTTGCATGCTATTTATAGTTTATGTGATTTCACATTCTTTATAAAATGATTTTAATTTTTTAATTAATAAGCCAAATATCTTTAAAAAATGTACCTAGGTACATTTAAAAAAAAATATATATATTTTTTTTATGTAAATATTTTTTATTTTAAAATATGTAAAATAAATTTTCTTAATAACGTTTTACATGATTTTATTTATAACTTAATTATTCAGTTAGATTATATTCGTCTTATAAATTATAAAACCCTTAGGTTTGGCAGCTAGTACATTTATAGTTTCAGTGTCAGCTACTGGGACAACTGTCAGTCAGCTACTGGTACAAGCACTTTTTTCACTGTCAGCCACTGGAACTTGTACAAAGGTTGAATTAAGTTTAAAAATGTTATAAAATATATTTAAAAAACTCTTTTTGTATGACAAATTTGAAAACTACACTAAATTTAGAATCCCATAAAATCCGTAATATCTCTTTAGTTCCTATTTAGGCTATTCAAAACCACAGATTATTAAGTGTGTATAGTTTCTTATACTGTCAGCTACTGGTGCGTTTACCTCTTTTATGTTATAATAGATATATTTAAAAATATTGATTATTAATCAATATTTTCAATTTAATAGTTTCAAACGATATTGGCGTAGGCCTATCCCAGTTAAGAAACTGTAGGCCTACCCCCTAGCAGTGGCCAATGATTGTTACACGCTTGTTGGCTGTGATGCCTATAATAGCCACTATCGTAATGTAATAGTGCGGGCTGAAATTTTTGTAACGGTAAAAAAACCACTAATAATCAATTATGAAGTAAACAATTTAGGCTGTTTTAGGGTACAAAAGATCACATTCTGAACTTTCATTTTACCACATCAATTAACCGTTTACAAGTTGTATAAACAATGCCACAACAGTTAGGCTATAATTACAATAACATTTTGCCGCTGCGCCATTCCTGCAGTCGACGCTCGGAAAACGTAAAAACACGACTTGTTTGGCATTACCCTGCTCGGGTAATTTTCGTCTTTAAGATGTTGAGGGTGGCTACCACTGGATAGCCATTGAGTTTATTTCCATTGTGGTCTTGATTTTTTTTAGAACGAAATGTTGATTGGACAACAGATAGGCCTATTGTATGATTTTATGAAAACAGCTGCAATACAATAGTAGCCAGAGACGTTAAATAAAAATTATATACAGTGTAATCTTTAAGTTATTATTACTAGTCATATCTCATGATGTCATTTTGAAGAGGAAGAAATAAAGCTTTTGAGAGTGGCAGCCCTTTGCTCAGGGTTATTTCCGTTTGCTCTCTAAATTGGGGGCTTTTAGAGTACCGGTACGGGGGAAATTAGCCTGCCATAGGCGTCTTAGACAAGTAGGAATTTCATTTAGCCATGGAACATTGGATGAGTGCACAACACGTGTTTGCTGAAGGCATATAACAAAAACGTCGATATTATGGTTTGTGCTCAGCACACTTTCCGTTGTGGTTCAGTCTATCGCCGCAGGCTCCCGTACCATCAGGGAACGCCATCCTCCTTTGGGTGAATAACTTTGAAGCCACTGCTAGCACAACAAAGCGCTATAAAACTATTGCAGACATTATGCAAACGCTGAAAAGCGTCATGGGCTGATTTCAATTCATAATTCAACAATGTGTATAAAACCAAGTACGCCATTTTACTGACACTGTATTAAAAAATGTAATTATTTTTAAGGTGAAACATTAATTTCCACTCTTGTACTTAGGATTTATGTTAAAACAACTAGGCCTATCCTTTTATCCTAAATGAATTATTTGTGATTTTTCAAAATCATGCTGTTTCACTGCCTCACCCTGTATTTGCGAACGTACATTTACATTTACATACGTCATTTATTTTATTCCAAAAGTGCCGTTGTATAATGTATTTTAATAGAGAGTAAAAGAAAGGAGATTAGGCTAGCTTTTTTGCAGAAATCCCCTGGAGCTGAAATTTTTAATATCAAAATCCAGTAATCTCTGGGGATATGGCAACCCTAGATTATCCGAGCCCCAGTTATCATTTGTTCTTCCTTTTCCATTTTCTTCATTCTTCGCAGGACATTTCTGCAGCTGGTATCGCCTTTTGTCAGTGTTTGTCATTACAATGTTTTAATATTGACATGATTGTGTCGAGTATTATAGTTTAAGACAAACTCAAACCAAAATTAATTTTTCACTTTAAACACTCTAGGGATCCACCTTATTCTGTTTTTGTTAAATCCTGTAGATTGCTGACATAGCATAATTTAATAATAGGCCTACTTCTAAAAGTTTTACATTAAGAAGTGTTAAGCATGTTTGATTTAACTTATTGTTTTCCTTAAATAACCAAATCAAATCAAAATGTACAGTCTTAATAAAAAGAAATACTTTCCAAGAAAATACAAATTATTTATCATTTCGCATTCACTATGCATTGATATCAAAACATTTAAAATTTACAAGTATTTGACTCGCTAATGTGGTACCGTAAGCCCTAACCTCAAAATCTAAGAGACCACTGTGTTATCTTTGGTTATTGTGATTACTATTCTCACCTTGAAGCTTGAAAGGTTGTCTTCGAATCGAATAAAAAGTTCTTAAAACAGGCCTCGCCTCAGAACCCAATAGTCATTCATTCTTCCTTGAAAACATACCTACTAAGAAATATGTGGAAAACTATGAAATTAATTTTTACTACACGTTTTACTTCCCACTTTCAAGCTGAGTCAAGCACTAGTTTTTGTGTTACTGATAGCCAGTTACTGATAACTGTAATCTAAAAAAGTATTATATATAAAACCGGAGAAGTGTCAATTGAAATAGTCTCTTGAGTTGGCTATCTAACTTTCTTGATAATTTTTCACAACATTCTTAATAGTGACTCACCGTTTATTTGGCGGGAACTGTTTGTTTTCATTTCTAACTACCATTGCAAGCATCTAGTTTGGAACAATGCTGTACGAAGTATTGTATAGTCCTCTTCGGATCTCAATTATTGTAAGTTTAAATCGTGTTTTTAAGTTGTCATAACATAGGCCTAAGTGCAATGATATTATCTAATTACAAACATGTGTTGCTGTAATTGTGCAAATAAATTGCTCTCATCACAGCAAACATGGTTTGGAAATTGTACTTGACTTGTTCAATTTTTATCTATAAACCGGTCCATAATAAAAGTAAACTAGGGTGACAAAATAATAATGTAGAATGATAAACCATTTTTGAAAGTGTTGGATTGAAAATCAAAAATTGGTTTACGGGGTATGAACCACCCTACACCCTTCCTATGTTCGGATAGGAGTGCGAATGCAAATTAGGTGTTTTTTAGCGAATTTCCCATATATGGAATAAGCTATTGCCGTAGGTCTCATGGTGAGACCTAGATCCGGGACCGATTTACATTTATGTTTTGAGGTCCCCAGAGTCCAAAAACACCATTCGTTCAAATTCATATATATACGAAAATATATATATATATTATGTGTCCGTAAGCTAGATAACTTGAGCAAAAATTATCCGATTTTTATGAAATTTGACCACAAATGTGTAAACCTACATTTATTCAAACGAGTTCGCGAACCAGCATAATCGGACCATGGGAAACGGGGGTTTATTTGGGTTTAATGGGGTAAAAATTGATTTTTCCCATTTTTGACCCTACAAACACAAAATTTCAAACCATTTTGTAGAGCTTAAAAAAAGAAATAATTTTGAATATTGAAGCGTTGTTGTATGCCTAACCATTACGTAGATAGGCTACCTAATTAAACAAATTTTAAATTTCCATGTTATTCTTATGGAGAATAAATAAACTGTTGTATTTAGCTTGTTTATTGATATATTTTAATAAAATTTGGCAATTTTGCATATTTTATACTAAGATATCAACATTTTAATAAAAAAAAACACACCTCAATACATTCCCTGTAGAAGCAAACCTAAGTACCGGTACTCACAAACATTTATGTTACGGTACCTATTTAAATAAGAAGTAAATTTTAAGGGAATATTTTAGTAGAAATACAGCCACGTAAATGGAAATTCGCTTAGTCTGCAGGTTTGC